AGCTACTGAAGGCTTCACAAACTGCGTGGTCAAAATAGATGTTAAATAATGTGGACATCCCTGTCGCACCCCAAGGTGTACAGGGAATGGTTCTGACTTCCGGCCACGTAGTTTTACCCAGGCCCGCTCACCATCATGAAGGTCCTTAATGATCGTGAGCAGAGGGTCAGGGACTCCAAAAGCACGAAGAACAACCCAGAGCCCAGGCCTACTGATGGTATCATAGGCCTTGACCAGGTCAATAAAGCAGAGATGTAGGTCTTGTTGGAATTCCCTACACCTCTGCTGTAGCAAACGGACAGAAAATATGGCATCTGTGCAGGACCGCCCTTTCCTGAAACCACATTGGGGCTCCGCAAGCCTCTCCTCAGCGTGCCTGGCAAGGCGATGTTGAATAATCCTTGCCAGGACCTTTCCCGGCACACTGAGGAGTGAGATGTCCCTGTAGTTGTTACAGTCTGTGCGGTCCCCCTTCTTAAAGAGGGGGACTACCAGGGCATCCTTCCATTCCTGCGGAACCTGTCCAGTGGTCCAGACTGTTGTTATGATGTCATATAGGGCAGTCTGTGCACAAACGCCACCCTCCCTCAGCATTTCGCTTGGGAGATCATCTCAGACTCCGGATCGCCTTCAGTACTTCCTCAACAGATGGCACCTCAGCCAGCCACTCACAGGGGGTGACTTCTTCCAATATTTGAGGCACTGCAGCCTCAGGAGGGTCATCCCCACTTTGTGCCACGATGTTTTCCTGGCTGAGGGATTTTCCCTCCCCCAGGACTTAACAGAAATGCTCAGCAAATCTGCAAACCTGTTCCTGGGGATCGGAGATTGGATCACCGCCCCTTCCCCTAATGATGGTAATAGGTATGGCGCTCCAGGTGACTTTTTTGATGGAGTTAAATAGAGATTTGTGATCGCGGGCCACTGAGGCAGACTCCATCTTTTCATCAACCCGCGACCACCACCCATCCTTGCAGCGCCTCACGGCTCTCCGAACCTCCGAGCGAAGGCTGCGGTAAGCCTCATTCTCTGACGTGGGATTCTATAGCCGATGACAGTGGGCCTGTCGCTTTTTCTCAACCATCCTGAACACCTCCTCTGTCAGCCAGGATCTCTGGGGAAGTCTGGACCACGTACCCAAAGCAGCCATTGCAGCTGCATGAGTCACAGTCCTAAACCTCACCCAATTACCCTCGACATCAGGAGGAGTGGGGGACGATGCCAACCCAGGCCGCAAGCGATGATGAAATTCTTGCTTGCACCTTTCATCACTTTAGGTTGGAATGCGGTCCTGGGTGTACACCCACCACCGGAGTGGAAGTTTGGCAGGCGCATCTTACAGATGACTAGTCGATGGTCAGAGGGCAGATCAGCTCCACGGTAGGTCCTGGTGTCAAGGACATGGGCTCGCACCCGCTGGTCCGTCACTATGTAGTGCAGCAGATGTTCTTGCTTGGACCCGGCATGCATCCATGATGTTGTGTGGATGCGCCGATGCCGGAACAGCGTGTTGGTAATTACAAGCCCATGGGCTGCACAAAAATCTAGCAGCCTCCTACCGTTGTTATTGAGCTGATCTGGCCCATGCCCTCCAATCACTCCAGACCAGGTGCCAGCATCATGACCGACTCGGGCATTGAAGTCACCCAACAAGATGACTCTATCCCGAGGGGCCACTTTAGCCAGCAACTTGTGACAGGAGGTCATAGAAGGCATCTGACTAATCGGCTTTGCCTGCATCCCTCCACGGATGTTCGTCTTCGGTGGGGGCATAAGTAACCACGACCACTACTCCTCAACTCGGGTTGATGGGAAGGCGAGCACAAAGTAGCCTGGGGCTTACAGCTTCCCACACATCACCGCCACGCTCCCACGCCCCCTTCATTCTTTTGTTCAAGAGAAGAGCCACACCCTGTTGCTTGGCAGTCTCCTGCCCCGAGTAGAGGACTGTCCACCCCTCATGGTGGCAGGAGTCTGAACCGGACCACCGGACCTCCTGAATGCCGCAGAGATACAGGCGGTACCGGTCCAGCTCCCGACAGAGGAGTGGCAGCCTCTCCTCCGCAGTGAGCGTTCGAACATTCCACGTGGCCACACGAAGTGGCTTTTTGTTGTTTCTGGAGGAGCCCCGAGGGTAGAGATTAAATCTCCTGGCTCCGCCAATTGGGGTTTGGCCAGGAGACGTCATAGACGCCTGTCCTCCCGGGGCCTCCGGCACAAGCTTATTAGTTACATATTTCAGTCGTGGTTTAGTGGTAATTTTTTGAAGGTGGAGGGGTTACCAGCCCCTTGCACCCGTCCAGAGCCTCCGTTTAGCCACTATGGTGGTCACAGACGCCATGAGGGAAGGGGCCAATCGGAATTGGCCCTCCCCCCGCAGCACTGCCCACGACAGAGTTGCCCGTCCGGCACACACAGACGCACGCACACGCGCACACACGCGAGCACGAGGCGAGGAGCGGTGGTGGAGAAGTTTCCTCACCGCGCTACGACGATCCCGGCTACCTCTCATCAACTCGTTCTGACCATCTTTGGTGAAGTATGGTCAAACATGCACACCCCCCCCTCCCCTCCAAGACCGACCCAACGATGGGAGACCTTCGTCCCGCAGTGGATAGATCATGGACTAAAACAGTACGATTGTTATATTACAATAGCGACAAATATAGAGATACAAAGCCAAGAAAAAAACAACCCGTAGCAAACTGTTTGTGTAAGCGCGATCAGCGAGCCCCTATTAAGGCGAGCACGTCGCTGGCGGGGGGCGGCGTGGCCCGCCCCGCGCCCACAGCTGCCGTGGACTGCCAAGTGGCCGCGGTGTTTACACTCCGCGCCAGCGACTCGTTTAAGGCAACGAACGGGGAGGGGTGCTGGAGAGAAAGGGGGCGGGTTGGGGGCCTGCGGTGGCGGGGGGGTGTGGGAGGAGGCCCTCGCGCATCCTTAATTGCTCGCGCTGCGTACGCGGCGAGAAACGCGGTCACATCCATCCCGCGCGTCGCGGCGCCGCGCCTGATAAGGAGTCGCGTTCCATCACCGCACGCGCCGACTCCAACGCGCGCTGCTCGCCGCGGCGGCGGCGGCTTCTCGTTCCAAATCGGGTGGCAATTGCGAGCGGCGCCGCTTGTGATAGGGGGCGCTGAGCGTGTTCTTAACGCACCCTCGCTCGCCCGCACCCTCGCTCGTCCTCACACCGACCCACGTCGCGGTCCGCGGACACACAGCCCAGACTCGAGGGCTGTGACGCCAAAGATGTCTCTCCCACGACGAGGGTCGGTGTTGAGGGGCAGGAGGAGGAGGGGGGGGGGGGGCGCGCACAATCTTCGAGCGAGCCTGGGTGAGCGGGGGACGGTCCCGGGCAGCGAAGGGAGCGCGTCGATTACGTCACCGGCTACCTCGCCCCTACGCCGCGACTCGTGACGCTCACCGAGCCCGGTGAACTTAGATCGTGACAACCACGTCGGTCACCAAGCACACACATTTGACTGTTGTCTAACGCGCGTGTTAGACCAAGGCCCTGTGCAGACGAGGGGGAAGAACGGTCATAGAGACGGAGATAGAGAGCCAGAGGCATAGACGCACGCACACATAGCGAGACAGACTCGGGGATACGGGAGAGAGACGATTACATAAGCTAATCACTCAGCTATTTCAATGCTAAATTCGATGCTAATTCCTTTGTCAGGGGGTGCCTCTGCGGATGTGTATACTTTAACTTAGCTATTTCAATGAGCCATTTCAATGCTAAATTATATGCTAATTCCATTGTCAAGGCGCGTGGTCTTTTTCTTCTCACACAGCTTAAAGGTCGTGATCTAAGCGTGGCTTCTCTCACTCCAGCGCTGTCCTCCAGACAGTCTCGTCCCTTCACCTGATTAAGGCCGCTTGTGTTGTGGCCGAAACGTCGTGATCTTTTGTTATTTTATTTTCACCTACGTGACTTTACCCAATAGAACCAAAGAGTAAGCACGATACAGACAAGCAGGGAGACAAATAAAGACGCGCGAGGAATGTGGGGGTGATGGAGAATTATGGTGGGAGGTCGGCGCACGAGTCATCTGGCACCCGCGTAAAAAAGGGTCTTGGGTATTGCGGGAATGCGTCCAGCAGCCTCGACTCTTGACTCCCTCGTCATCTCGCGAGCGCGCTCTGACCTGCGGTTGCGAATCACTGCTCTGAAAGACAATCAACAACCCGAGCCCTAATCCTAAATCTCGCGCATCCACCCCAACACTTATCCGCACCCCCCCCCGTGCTCCCCCCCCCCCCCTGTTCCCACGTGCGGCTATCGCGCTCATTAACTCACCTCGCACCGAGGCGCGTGAGCCCCAATCTACATGTGCGCTTGGAGGCAGCAGCGACTTCTCACCGCAGCGCAACTCCGACCCTGGCTGCTGCACGCAGCTGGGGACTTCTCGCAGCGAGGGTCGCGGTGGGTGTAGGGCCCAGGGGCTCGGCAACAAAAAATGACAAGGAGATGGAAAACGATTTCTCCTTCCAATTTGGTACAAAACTCAACATTTCAAGAGCCGCCAGTGCACGTGAGTACACACATGACGTCACGAGGCGGTCCGTGAAGAGCCACCGCGTGCTGCTCCGGAGCCACAGGTTGCCGACCCCCTGGTGTGGAGCGACTGGGACTCCTCGTGTCTGGGCTCAAGAGGCGGAGTCACGACGACGCGCGGCGTCGACAGACGGGGTCGGGTCGGACATCCACCGGTCTCTCTCGCACCTTCACAACGCCTCCGAACTCTGCGGACTCTCTACACACTCTGATACTCAAAAGACTCCCTGGATCATCGACGGGCGCACCGGAACGCAGAGTCGCTCGCGACGTCACCGTCCCGTTGCCGCCCGCTCTGGTGCCAAAGCGACTCGCGCCGCTGGCGGGGACGTCTCCCTTACACGGGGCCGGTTTCGTGTGCGCTGGCGAGGGGGCGGCGGGGTGCAGTGAGGCGAGGGAGTCGTGTGCCGCGAGCAGGTGGCGGTGCGAAGGTTCTTGCCTGCTCCTTGACGGACGCCAAGATGAGCGAGGCTCGGGCAGTCTCCTGCGCGCTGTCCCTTGGCGGTCTCCGCGCCACTCCTGGGCAGTTGTTCACTCCGACTCCTGGCTCCGCCGCCCTCGGAACGTCCTCCGTGGCCATGTCTGCTCTGCGCACGGGGCGAGACGGCGCTGCCCTCAGGGGCCACATTGGGCGCAGCGGCTCCGCTCTGGCGTCGTCAAACGAAGCTGAAGCGAGGCTCCGCGCAGAGGCCGCGAAGAGCCCCGCCGGGCCGCGGAGTCCCGGGGACACGAGGATCCGGAGCGGCACGGAGAGCGTCTTCACGTGGAGACCTCGCGCGAAGAAGAAGACGACGGCAGAGTCAAACACCGCGAGAAGCGGCGGCGGCCACGGCGCCCCCGAGACTCGCAACCCTCGCTACCACAAGGTGACATGGCGAGAGGCCGGCGCAGAGACAGAGAGAGAGCAGCGGTGAGAGAGAGACAGAAAGACACGGACACAGAGCAACAATGAGAGACAGAGACACACGAAGAGAGGGAGACAGAGATACAGAGCGACCCCTGCATTCCTCAATCCTGGATCTGACCTACCGGACACTCCACGGAAGATGTGGACACTTTATCCATAAATGGAAAATTTAACGAGAGTCCAGTTTGTGAGTGTGTGGTGCGACGTCTCAGAGCGTGCAACCTATCGTGAACCACTGACCCAATCGGATCATTCAACGGCGATCTGAATCAAATCTGAATCAAATCTACTCCTGACGCAGTCGGATGGATATCAAATCTCGACATCAATATGGAATTTTTGCAATCCCCAAAATTCGTATGCAAATCCCGCACGAAAGAAGAAGAGCAACAGTGAGAGAGAGAGAGACGGGTAGACTGAGACACATACACAGATCAAGAGTGACAGAGGCAGAGAGAGACGGAGCAAGAGAGACCGAGAGCGGCGTCTTCGAGCCCCGCGCCACTTGACATGGAGGAGCTTCGCCTCCGCGACTCCACCGACCGTGGCGCCCCCAGTCCAGGGCCCCGCTCCTGCCCCGCAGCTCTCGCGTGTGGAGGCTGCGTCACTCGGTAGAATACCAATTAGAGCAGGGCCCATTCACAAGGAGTGAGGGCCGTTCCGTGACGGAGCGCCGCCTCCATGTTCGCCAAGGGGTTGTGGTGGTGGTGGTGGGGAGGGGGGGGGGCAGGGCACGCGGCGACGTTTGACGGCGGCGGAGAGGAGCGCGACTCGGGTGGTGAAGGCGCGGGGAGGGGCGCACGGGAGCCAGCGAGAGGCAGTCGCCGAGGGTTTCCATCGCGCCGTCGGGTTGCGTTTGCGCGTTTAAAATCGTGCAGAAGAGGCGGCTGCGGGGGAGGAGGGGGGGGGCACGCCGACGTCTCTGGAGCCACTCTCTCCACGGCGCTCCCTCCCCACTCCGCGGCTCACGTTCGCGACTCGTGGAATCTTTTGCCCTTGCGACCCCCTCCCCCCTTCACGCGTTGCCTTCCCCCCACTTCCTCGTGGCTCCCGCCTCCCTCCTCCCCTCATTCGCATTCCGGATGCTCTCGCTGCTCTGCTCCCCCCATTCAGGGAGCCGCGCTCGTGACGTTAACGTCTCCGTGAAATGCTGCACCGAACATTTCCCGCGCTAATTAGGGCGCTCGCGGAGCCGGAGCCCGATCGCTTCCTCCTCGCGTCGTTTCTCCCGCACGTTCTCGCCGAAAATAACGGAGGGGAGCAAATGTATTAATAAAAGTTGCATCTTCTCGCGCGCGTCTGATGTGCGGCTTCAAAGCGCCCCCGGAGCCACGGCGCGCGACACGGATTCGTATCCGCGCCGCCTGAGACGAAACCCCGCGCGTATCCTTCCCCTCCCCTCCCCTTCCTCCTCCCCCGGGCTCCGCACTGCTCCGCTGCATCTGACGATGGAGTCTGAGAACCCGGCCGCTCCCGCCTCGCGCCCTCAATAACGCGCTGTGTGATGGCTGAAGGAGCCGGGCGCCACTTCTGACACGAGCGCGCGCGAGGGGTCAGGCCTATTACTGAGCGTCAGTTACAGAGGAGGGGAGGGGGGGTGCAAGTGGGGGGGGGCGCCCCCAACTCGAGAGCAATAGCCAAGTCCGCGCCTCCGAGACAGGCATGAAGGTCGAGGTGAAGACGCGATCATTCGCGACCTAAATCTGTCCCTGACCATCCCAATCGTTCTCACCATGAACATCCACGCAACCCTAACCCTAACATTTGTCCGAACCCGAATCGTTGCCCAAATCCTGACCCTCGCTCGAGCGCTAATTCGAACACTCGCGCATCCCCATTGCCTCTGCGAGAGATAATTCCTCACGTGCGAAGGAATCGTAAAGGATGGAGGGGAGGGAGGCAGTGGGCGAAGAGCGCATTAAGGGTCCCGTCTCTCCTCCTCCTCGCCGTCTCGTCTCACGAAAGGAGCCGCCTAACACGAAGAGCCCCACGCCGTGCACGACCCGCGGCAGCCAGCCTGCCCCGGGCGGCAGGTGTCAACCCGAGGCCCACCGTGAGGAGCGGGGTGGGGGTGTCACAGTGCTGCACGGTCACAACCCGACGCCCGAACCCGGTCGAGTCGAGCCGCACACGGCTCGACTCGCCAACACTGAGCGCGGCCGCCCTCTGCACGCTCCTCCACCTCCTGTATATAGCGGCCATGCATTATACAACTGCTGTCGACGGTCACTCAGCAGCAGCAGCAGCAGCGCGGACAATGCAGCAGCAGTGCGCACAATGGACACCGCGAGGCGCGCGCAGACCGCGTCCGCGGCACAACGAGCCGAAGCATGGCGATGCGGCAGGGCGTTCCGTCTTACCGAGGGGGGAGGCGGCCTCTGCGGGCAGCAGCAGCAGCAGCGAGCGGCGGGAGCCGGCGGCGCGCAATGGGGGCTCGAGAGTCGAGGCGTCACGCGGCTCCGTGACTCGGGGCGGCCTCCACCGGGCTCGTGGAGAGAAGGGCGCTCGAGAGGCGGCGGGGAGTGTGCGGCTACCTGTGTGGTTCTCCCCCTTCTCTCTCCTCCGCGTTCTCTCCCGCTACGCTCGCCGCTCTGCGCATCGCCTCACGCCTGGCGCCGGTGTGAGAGAGCGCCGAGCCTCCACCGGCGATCGCCGCACACTGCACTCGCCTCCATTCATTAATAACGCGCCAGCAGCCGGGACGCGGTTTAATGGCTTCTCAGTTGGCTCACCGGGTCTCTCTCCCGCTCTCGCCTTCTCCCTCCGCAGCCCTTTCGTCCCCTCTCTCTCCCTCCGCCGTAAGCGTTATCTGGTCAGAACGAGCTCTCGCCTCATTGCAGCTCGCAGCTCCCCGCGTCACCGCCGACTGACGCATCGCGAGCACCGCCTCGCATCGGCGGCCGCGCACGCAGCACGCGCCCGCGCACAGGCGCCGAGTGCGTGAAGCGGCAGCGGGCGGTGGACCTCGCGGTCTCGCTGCGGTCCCTGCAAAACGATTCTCGCTGCTGCACTGCTCCTACACATCCGTGAAGCCGCAGGGACGGGAGTCAAACTCCGCCCCTCCCCGCCGCGTCCGCCCCGGCGCTCGCATTCATTGCGGCTGCCAAACGCGCTCGCGCCGAGAAGCGGGCGCCGGCGCTGACCCGTGCAGATTCAGCACCACCGCGTGACTGGACAGCAGCACCCTTACCGCGCTGTGCACGCGCGCACGACGAGATGCGGCGGCGGCGGCGGCGGCGACGTCAGCGCCGATTGCCCGGCGACCCTCGGTCCCTCGTCATGAGCACTTCCCAACAGCGCTCGCATTGCCAGCGGCCGATCAATCGACGCCAGCGCAGAAGCTGCATGGGAAATGCGGTCAGGCGACGCGTGCGGTGTTGGGGGGGGGGGGGGGGTGCGCTCCTGCCGTGCGGGGGTGGAGGGTTGGTGGGTGGGGGGCGGGGGGCTTGCAGTGAGCTCGCCGAGCCCGAGCGCGGCGCTCTTTCCCAAGCAGAGGACGGACAGCCGCGTCCACTGACCCGGGCGGAGAGTGATGGCGGTCTTCCAACGAGGCCGACACACAGGCGCACACGGTCGCACGTTGTGCGCGTCGTGTTTACTTGTCAAGCAGTGCATAGCCATGTATGCACATGGCTATGTAGTATTTTATGTCATATACTGTACATAGACGACATGTGTGTACCGCAGTACGTTAAATATACTGCCATTACAATAAATATCCAGGGCAAACTATAGCGTAGTATACACATTGCATGGACAGTATATGTATACTGTACTATACGCGGGTGTTCCTCAACCTCTTTGGAACAGTGACCCCCAATCAGGAACATTGTTTCCCGGTGCCTCTGCCCCCTTCCCCATATCCTGAGATCCTCACCCAGGTAGCTCAGGCCACAACACAGAGGTTCACATGTTCATGGCTCTCGTCAATGCGGTGTTAGTTAGGCAAGTGTTGCATGTTGGTGTGTGTTTATGTCAGAAAGGCATTTATTTCATGTTGTGTATTATTATGCGTCTAGCTGCCGCAACGTGACACTGACCTTTTCCCCTACGTATTCGAAAATTCTCCTGCACGGTATCCACGATGCAGTCTGCGCCCGCTTTGTGAAAGGATCTGAGGCCCACCGGTCGAGAATCACTGCCTTAGGAGAACTAAAGTAAAATAATGGCGCTGGTGCCGTGGCGTAGTAGCTACTTCATCAGCTCACGGGGGCGGCAATCGGTCAGGTGCCCCCCCACCTCCTCGTGGCGGTTGTCAAGGGGGCCCCAACTCGTAGCTTCGGCCACCAGGGAGGGGGGGGTGGGCAAGGCACCCCCTGGCCCCCACGCGAGCTACTGGAGGGCTGGTGGCCTTCAGTCAGTCACGTGCTTTGGTGTGGGGGTTTTATGCTGCTCAGAGACCTTTTCGTTTTAGGATTTCTAAGGACACTTTCAGACCTTTGTCGGATTTTCGGATGATTGACATTCGCTGTGAATGTGAAATTTCTTCGCGCTGATGAGAGCGGCGTGGCCCGATGCCCACGTGCCACCACCGTTTGGTGATCAGAACACCAGACCACAAAACAGCTGGGATCGTCAGAAATCTCGTCGTTGGAATCAATCCGAAAATCGGGAGCACATCCCTCCCTATGCATGCATGGTAGATATAATGTTCTCCGATGCTTCTCCTGCATCCAGGCTTCGGCACACAAACGCAGAAATATTCCTCAGCACTGCAAATCCCGACAGGTGTTCTCCACGAGACGGTGCCGATAGCGAGCGCCGGTATAGCAATGAGCCTCTTTCCATGAGCGCTGACAGTCTACTTCCCCAGCCCTCCGAGGAGGGAACGGCAATTGGGCACGTTCATTGGGCTGACATGGGCTTTTCACATGGCGGTTACGTCAACGGAAATGGCTGTGGGCACGCTTACATGGCAATAGCAACCGCTTGCGAGATGGCGCTGTCTCGCGAATACTCACGGCTCTGAAAAAAAAACTGTGCCGGCGTCAATCGGTAGCGCCTAACATCGCTCCCACGAACCCGACACGTGCCATTGTTCCCACGTACGGTTACGTCACTCACGTTAACACGCGGCGCCACTCGCGAGCCTCATCAGAAACGGACGCTTGGCTGCGTTCGGCTTTCTCGCCACGCTGCACGCAGCACCGATCCATCGCGGACTTCAGCAGCTGCCGTGAGCAGCGAGGACGCGAAGGGCTCTCACAGCCAGGCGCAGCACAGTCCGGATCGTGGAGGGGGTGGGGCGGTGGGGGGCAGTGCCAGGGGCCACGGAGCAATGCACCTCGGAGCAATGATTTCTGCATCCCCAGCATCGCAGCAGTGGCCAGCTGACCGGGCTGATCGCGGGCAGTGCTGCAGCATCTACAGCAGCAACACGGGGCCGGTGTAAGTGGCCAGAGCTCACCATGATCCAGCCCTGCACATGCAGTCGTGTGTAGTGCACTGGCGTGTGTGTGTATGTGTGTGCGTGTGTGCAAGTGGGGAGCGGTAGTGTAGCGGTTAGCGCGCTGCGATACAAACCTGGCGTCCCGGGTTCGATTCCCGCTCACGGCCAACACCAGTGACGATGATCTGAACCGGCCCTGGGCCTCTCCTAGGTCGACTCAGCCTCAAATGAGTACCTGGTTACGATGTGTAAACATCGCCACTAGGGAGACAAAGGCGGCCGGGCGTGGTGTTGGCCACCCACCCCCTCGTGTGCCGTGCCGGCCTTTATAGGTGCTCGCTAACAGCACTTGCCCTTACAGTCTGTTACAGGCTATATGGGGGATCTTTGTCTTTTGATCTTTGTGTGCAAGTGTGGAGAGCGATAGTGTAGCGGTTAGCGCTACGCTGCGCTACGAACCTGGCGACCCGGGTTCGATGCCCGACACCGGTGACGATGATCTGAACCGGTTCTGGGCCTCCCCTAGGTCGGCTCAGCCTCAAATGAGTACCTGGTGCGGTGCATAAAAACATCGCCACTAGGGAGACAAAGGCGGACGGGCGTGGTGCTGGCTACCCACCCCCTCGTGTGCCGTTCTGGCCTTCATAGGTGCTCGTTAGCAGCACTTGCCCCCAACACTCTGTAAAGGCTATACGGGGGATCTTTGTGTGCGAGTGGGGAGCGGTGTGGTAGCGGTTAACGCGCTGCGCGACGAACCCGGTGAACAGACCGATTTCCGCTCACAGCCAACACCAGCGACGATTATCTGAACCGGTCATTGGCCTCCCCTAGGTCAACTCAGCCTCAAATGAGTACCTGATGCGGAGTGTGAACATCGCTACTCGGGGACAAATGCGTGTGCCGTTACGGCCTTCATAGGTGCTCGCTAACAGCACTTCCCCCAACAGTCTCATCGGGCTATACGGGAGATTTTTTGTCTTTGTGCTGTGTGCGTGCGAGTGCGAGTGCGTGCGTGCGAGCCACTGCACATTTCGTTATTATAATTTGCTCCATGTTCATTTATCAGTTACGTAACACAAGTCACAGCCTGGGACATCGGAAGCAGTTCAGGAAACGTGACCACGCGCCACTGTGCGTTTCAATATAAACAGTAGCTATAGGATATATCTCTATAGCACACCCCTCTCCCACACAAATATAAGACAAATATTCCCCATATAACCTTAAAAAGACTCTTGGGACAAGTGCTGTTAGCGAGCACTCATATAACGGCCGACACGGCACACGAGGAAGCGGTTAAGTTTGGCCAGAACCACGCCCAACCGCCTTTGTCTACATCGTGACGATGCTTGAGGCTGAGTCGACCTTCAGGAGGCCGGTTCAGATCATCTTCACTGGTGTTGGCCGTGAGCGGGAATCGAATTCGGTTCGTAACGCAGCGTGCATTCGCACTCCCGCTCCCCAACAATAACAGCCATTCGCCACTAAGTGGCGGTGACGTCCCCATGGCGCTTGTGCCAGGCTAGGTGCACCTTGAGACCATGTGAATGTCGAAGGCTCGCTAGCAAGGGGTCACGGGACAGACCCAAGTGCCGTGGGTTGGCTGACTCATACACCCTCAAAGACAAAGATTCTCGCTGCTGCTATACAAACTGGCCAATTAAGTGATGTTAGCGAGCACCTGTTAAAGCCGACACGAAGCACGAAGACGTGAGGTACCACTGGTTAATATCTGGAATGCTACCGCTCGTGAGTAACTCGGGTTTCTGGGTGCAGCAGCGAGCCGGTGATCTCAGCCCGCTCAACAATGACTGCACAAAATATACATCCATAACAGAGGTTTTTTGGGTTAGATCGCGTAAATATATAAATGTGTCGTTAAAACCCGCCACCACCCGACACAGCCAACTAGTAAGGGTTGTCACGTAAACAGAACATGCCAATTCGTCACTCGCACAATATTTACAATCTGAGTACGACGTTTCGTCAGTAATTATATACATTTGGTTTTCAATAAAATATTGATGTGAGACTTCAGGTTTCCTGTTTTACAGCCATACTGTAAGCATCATTGTAGCAGTGTGCGAAGCTCCCAACTTGGTTACGGGATCATTGTGAAAGCTTTTCAGTGGTTCCGTGATATCTATTTCCGCGGGTACATTCTGTCATAATGTGCTGCACTGATATGGGAATTACGGGCGGCCACTTCGTATCGTGGCAAGTCGCAAATAGTTTAATTTTAATAAAATGAGGGGGCGGGGGGTTACAAAAAGACTGAGTCGACCTACACACACACAGGTGCCTGTCCAAGAGCTTCCAATATCGCGCGCCACGTGCTAACCGTGGCCGAGGGTCTAACTCAGGACACGAGATTCGTGACGGAGCGCGCCAGCAACAGAACCACCGCTCATCCACATGGACCACGCATTCCACCCCCTCGCCCCCCTCCCCCGCCCCGCAGGACCGATACACAGATGCTGGCGGGTCACGAACCCCGGCGCCCTGAACCTCGCCTCGCTAAGGGCGACAGTGTAAATGACTGCACTCGGAGCCCGCGGCTCAATACCGCTCAATGGACGGAGGGTCCCCGAGCCGCCCCTGGCCGTGCGCCGCCTGCCCGCTGCTGTTTACTCGCGCGATCAATGCACTCGGGGCTCAGTGCGTCGAGGTCCGGTCTCCGTGTCCAATCCCAGAGGCCCCTGGAGCCGCGTGACCCCGCCAGCCCTCCAGGGTCCGAGCCGCGGTGCCGCCGGGGTCGCGTGACCCTCCCTCCACGCCACCGAGGTGGGGCGGTCCATCGAGGTGATGAGAGTGGATGTCGCGTGTGCGGCGAGGAGATGCGGAGTGGGAAGCTGGAGGGTGGAATTCGGTACCGGCTGAGGTGGTGAATCTTGGTGAGCATCGCTTGTAAAGCCTTGTCCATCTACTCCTCCTGGATGAGGGCCTCCCCGCGCCACGTTGGTCTCGGGGGCGATTTGACCATACTTCACCACGCTGGTCAGTGCGGGTTGAAGGGAGGTGGCCCGGGACTGGTGTCGACATATTACTCACCAATGATGTTAGCCGTGGTTTGGGATCAAACTCGGATGCTGTAAACGAGTTCACGGCGCAAGTGCGTGTATCACTGCACCCAGGTGTCCCCCTCTGCCTCTTCCCTCCAGCTGCCGACTCCGCGCGTCCTCTGTGCAGCTCGGCCGCTCTCACTTTACCGCTCAGCTGACAATTTATTTATGAGCAGTAAAACTGGTACAAGGCTGTGCATTTATATTTGTAAATAAACCGGAGACGGAATTTTACTACGATTACCGCTACCTGCAAGAAACTGCGTGCTGGTGTCTGATTCATTTTTTTTGCGAGCATAGGAGGAGCTGTAAAGTTGTTTTTTTATTAAACGTATAATTTGAAGGCGACTATAAACACCAATAACCCCACACTACCGATCATACGCATGCAAGGAGGGGAGCCGAGGAACGCGAATATCTGTACAATTGCCTTGCGTCTGTTCGAGTCCGTCTGTGCATATATCAAATATCAAGAGAATGTGTTGGCAATGGTAGGCAAGCACAAATGATTGATTAAAAAAAAGGTTTGCCTCTGTCTATCGCAACCAAGTAAACAATCACGGATGGCACTTTGCCAAACGCGAAACTGAATAACAATGAAAGGACACCCACCACGCGGGCTGACATCTCAGAACGGAGAGAGGTCAGAGAGATTGTCAGACAGTTATCCAACTGTTTGTTTGCATGCGTGGTGCGGGCCATCCACCCCCTCGTGTGCCGTGCAGGCCTTCATAGGTGCTACCCGCTAACAGCACTTGCCCCAACAGTTTGTTCAGGCTATACGGGGGGGGGGGGTATCTGACTTTGTGTAATTACACGGCGGGAAAGACACGGACATTTATTAACTCCGCTCGCCATGATGGCGCACTCTGAGCACGCCAAGGCTGACCTCACAGCGCACGCCGAGGCGCGACGAGGGCCTTCGCGCGGCCACGTCGCCTCCAACACCCCGCTCGCACCGGCACAGCCCCATCCATGGTGCCGGCCTCACCGATCAATGCACGGGCACCCGGCAATCGTTGTTCTCATTCGCATTGACTGTCATCTGGGATTATGAAGCGAGCGCTCTTGCAGACAATCGTGGCACACTCCGCCAAGCCGAGCGCAGCACTGGGTGGGTGAAGGCGAGGTGGGTGGCTGAGCATGGTACTGGGTGGGTGAAGGCGAGGTGGGTGGCTGAGCATGGTACTGGGTGGGTGAAGGCGGGGTGGGTGGCTGAGCATGGTACTGGGTGGGTGAAGGCGAGGTGGGTGGCTGAGCGTGGCACGGGGTGGGTGAAGGCGGGGTGGGTGGCTGAGCATGGTACTGGGTGGGTGAAGGCGAGGTGGGTGGCTGAGCGTGGCACGGGGTGGGTGAAAGCGTGGTGGGTGGCTGAGCATGGTACTGGGTGGGAGAAGGCGAGGTGGGAGACTGAGCGTGGCACTGGGTGGGTGAAGGCGGGGAGCCCGGGACACCCGCGGCGCGCTGCAGGCGTGAGTCACAACGCGCTGGAGCAAATTCAATTGTCTTCCGCTTTGCAATTAACGATCGCGCGAGCGCAAGCGGGCGAGCGGTAATTACGCGAGCCCCACGGGACGCACCCGGACTCACCTGTTACAGATGCGGCAAACGTGGGGTGGGGCAAGGCGTGAGCAGGCGGCGCTGCGAGTGGCGAATCCCGGGCGGGCATCAGCGGCGCCCTTTGGAGGGCTGAAGGCGACCACGCGCCACCCTCTGTGTCTCACACCCCGACACGAGCACGCGCTGCGAGCGCAGTGGAAATCTAAACCGGTACCGTGCCTACCCTAGATCGACTCAGCCTTCAATGAGGACCTGATGAAATGTGTATATATATAAATCAGCACTGGGGGTACAAAGACGGGCAGGCGTGGTGCTGACCACATCACCCCTTTGCACTCTGCCAGCCTTAATAGGAGTGCACTAACAGCGTATGTCCTACCAGGGGAATCTTTGGTGTCTGTGTGCAATGTTATTGTATTTTTGTTCCTGCATGTTCTCTGCTCATTTGTAGGGTTCTGCACTGCGTCTTGAGGTAACGTCACAATGATTCGCTGTAAACACTACAAAGTATTAAGTGGTACTGATTCATGCAGATAATTATGGTCCATTGTGCAATAGCCTTTGAAAAGGCTATTTGGTTACGCCAATTCACTTTTATGCGACCACGGAGGGGAATCTGCTCCACTCAGGTTTGGCCACCACACGTGGTTCAGGTTCGAGCTGCAGGCCTATCAGCTTCCTCCTCTGGGTCTCGGGCCAGTCTGGCCAATGCCCTCTGGGTGATGCGCTCAGCCAAGACCTCGTGGCATCGCGCGATTGCCATGCGCCCAGCGCCTCTGTCCCTCGAGGACACCAGCCCTGGTGGCCTCGAGGGACCCCAAGACACCACTTTCAGTCGGACCCACCGCTCTACTGATCACCGATCCGCACGCAAACCGGGTGGAGCGCGCAACTCGTGGTGCCGGTGCAAACTCTGTGTGTACGATTTTAATCATCAGTGTGTTACAAGTCTTTTGGGACACGTGAAGATATCGGTACCAGTGGGGTTTCATTTCTATTCGGTCCGTGACCAAGAAAATATTTCTGCAACCTGGCACATCATCGCATAACTTAAGAGGCTTAATCCCCCCTCGATGGCCCTGTGTCTAGGCCTACTCCAGTTAACCAGGGACTTGGGAAATGTTCAGCAAGATATTAAACGAGTAAAAGTTTCACAGCTCAGATGAAACCGATTTGCTGCTCTGACCCGTGGGGTGCACTAAGTGGAGTAAAGGATCAGGGAGTGTCTCTCCAGGACGAGCAGGGACACTGGAACTGTAAGGCAGACTGTGAAAAACTCACGGAACACGTGGAGGTGGTGACAGCCGCGTACGTGAAACACGGCGTTTTATTTTACACGCAGTCACCGGCGCGTCTCAAGTGACGGCTCACGTACTTCCCCGCAGCAGCTCACGCCCGGAGACACGAATCGCACGTCAACCGGTGGCCGATGGTGGCCGATGGTGGCACCGCACCAAGGCCAAGCAACCGAGGACAGGCCGGCTCAGCCCACAGCCTATCCTGGATTACTTGAACCAGGGGCGGGCCAGGGGGTACGGCAGCTTCTGAGCAGCACACAACGCGTGACTCAAGTCCTTCATGAGGCTATTAGGCGGTGACTGTAGCCATGTGTAAGCCGTGCACGAGCCGTCATAAGACGTACTGGTTCCAATTTAACCGGATTGGCTGTCAAATTCAATCAGCATAATGGGCGAGTCTAATTCAATTGCTCAGTTTTATAAGTTGAGCCGTCCGGATAAATGGCGTTATCCGGCGATGTTGCCGGCACAAGGTTTAGACGGCATGAGGCGCTGTCGCTCGTGCCCATTTGGGCTTTGGCGAGCACCGAGGAGGAGAAGAGCCTGATTTAGACCGTGCACTGTGACGGGGCCCACATGGAAAGGCTCCACCACGCACAAAGAGCTTCATGGCTCATCGGATTTCTCCAGGATAAATTAAGATTGTGATTCTGATTCACGACTTGTACCAGTGAGTGGACACCGCTACCACGATCTTAAATCCATCCGCGTGCACTATCCACGGCGCTCGGGGTTCCAGCAGAGAGACGTGAGCGTTCAACGCGGTCGTAGGCTCCAGCTGGTGGTGGAGGCTCCAGCTGGTGGTGGAGGCTCCAGCTGGTGGTGGAGGCTCCAGTTGGTGGTGGTGGTGGCTCCAGTTGGTGGTGTTGAAGGTGTGTCTTCAACCAGAGGTTAATGTGTAACATAGATCATGGGCACGTGTTTAGGGATATGCTTGACAGAAATCTACCTTCTAAGATTAAAAAAACATTTTAAAAAACATGCAATTGTGTTAATTGTTCTCATGTTTAATAACAATTACATTTTAAAAGCGCCTTTCATCAGCAATCTCAAAGCCCTGCACATGACACAACAGCCATTCAGCATGACGACAACTTGTGCAACTAACAACTAAAAACATCGACAAATAATGAAATAACCCTAAAGGCCATTTTGCTGAATGCGCTAAAAGACGAATGTTTAGGTCATCTTGTTTCCTCCAGTACAGGAGCAATGTTGTGAACCAATTGCACATTGTAATTGTGCTCCACGTGTTGTCGGGAACTGGCCGTGAATGAGTTGCACTGTGCCTCGGGCATTGGGTGATGTTTTTGTTCTTGCCAGATGGGGTCAGGCCAAGACTTGTGTGAGGTCAGGGTCAGAGCCGAGGTCAGGGTCAGAGCCGAGGTCAGTGCGCACATCCACGTGGGAGCCCTGCACTGCAGCTCTGACAATACCTACCCAACACTCACTGACAACCCAACACTCACCTTCAACCCAGTGAACACAAAGATCCCCCCCCGTATAGCCTTGACAGATTGCTGGGACAAGTACCTGAAGCCAGCATGGACACCACGCCCGACTGCCTTTGCCTCCCTAGTGGAGACGTTTACACACCACACCAGGTACTCATTTGAGGCTGAGTCGACCTGGCAGACGCCCAGCACAGGTTATGATAATTGTAACTGGTGTTGTCCGTGAGTGGGAATCGAACTCAGGTACCCACGCACACCCCCTCACCTACCAACATCTTCAAACACTCACCTAAGAACACTCACCTAAGAACACTCGCCTGACAACAACAACTGCCATTCGCCACTAAGTGGCGGTGACGTCACCACGACGCTTGTGCCAGGCCATGTGCACCTTGAGGCCACGTGAAGTGTCGAACGCCCGCTGGCAGGAGGTCACGGGGCAGACCCAGGTGCCACGGGTCGACTGGCTGAGATGACTGGCTGATGCACCACCTGTGCCCCCTACTGTGCCAACCTGCTGTGCTTTAGCCACCCGGCGCTCCGCTCGTTGTTGTGAGCGTCGCTCCTCCGCCCTCCGTTGTTGTTGGGAGGGCGACTGCCTCCAACTGCCCAGTAGCATCCTTCACGAGCCTCCTCCACAGAGGCCGATCTTGACACCGCTGGTACCAATCATCTAACAACACTCACCCAATAAGCAGCTCTCACCTGACAACGCTCAGCTAACAGCATTAAATATTCACCTCGCACTCAAATGTAACATTCAGTACCCAACAATCCCTTCATACCCAGGTAGCGACGACTGCCCGCGCACGGAGGGGGGGGGCGTTACCCCCTCGTGCAACCCCCAACATCCACCACAGCACTGTACGGTTCACCGTCAGCTGTCACTACACAGGGCCGCGTGAACACACAGCGCGATCACAGCGCGTGAACGCAAGGTGTGAACACAAGGTGTAAACACAAGGCGTGAATACAAGGCGTGAACACACATCGCGTGAACACACGGTGTAAAGACATATCGTGAACACACTGTGTAAACACCTGGTGAACACTGTAAACACATCATGAACACTGTGTAAACACATCGCGTGAACAGACGGTGTAAAGACATCTCGTGAACACACGCCGCGTGAACACATCGCGTGAACACACATCGCGTGAACACTGTGTAAACACATCGCGTGAACACACGGTGTAAACACATCGCGTGAACACACATCGCGTGAACACACATCGCGTGAACACACGGTGCAAACACGTCGCGTGAACACACGGTGTACACACATCGCGTGAACACACATCGCGTGAACACACGATGTAAATACATCATAAACACACGGTTGAAACACATCGCGTGAACACACGGTGTACACACATCATAAACACACGGTATAAACACATCGCGTGAACACACGGTGTACACACATCGCGTGAACACACATCGCGTGAACACACGGTGTAAACACATCATAAACACACGTTAACACACATCGCGTGAACACACGGTGTAAACACATCGCGTGAACACACGGTATAAACACATCATAAACACACGGTATAAACACATCGCGTGAACACACGGTGCAAACACATCGCGTGAACACACATCGCGTGAACACACGGTGCAAACACGTCGCGTGAACACACGGTGTAAACACATCATAAACACACGGTATAAACACATCGCGTGAACACACGGTGCAAACACATCGCGTGAACACACGGTATAAACACATCGCGTGAACACACGGTGCAAACACATCGCGTGAACACACGGTATAAACACATCGCGTGAACACACATCTCGTGAACACACGGTATAAACACATCCCGTGAACACACATCGCGTGAACACACGGTGTAAACACATCGCGTGAACACACGGTGTAAACACATCGCGTGAACACACGGTGTAAACACATCGCGTGAACACACATCCCGTGAACACACGGTATAAACACATCGCGTGAACACACGGTGTAAACACATCCCGTGAACACACGGTGTAAACACATCTTGAACACACTGTGTAAAACACATCCCGTGAACACACATCGCGTTAACACACATCGCGTGAACACACGGTATAAACACATCGCGTGAACACACGGTGTAAACACATCCCGTGAACACACATCGCGTGAACACACGGTATAAACACATCGCGTGAACACACGATGTAAACACATCACGTGAACACACGATGTGAACACATCACGTGAACACACGATGTGAACACATCACGTGAACAAGTCGCGTGAACACGCCGTGTTCACACAAACGCATGCTGTGCCGCGACTCCCCCCACTCGCTCAAGCGACATGGGCGGCACCACCATCATCATCACCATCATCATCACCACCACCATCATCATCATCACCACCATCATCATCATCATCACCACCATCATCATCACCACCACCATCATCATCACCACCATCACCACCACCATCATCACCACCACCACCATCATCATCATCACCACCACCACCATCATCATCATCACCACCATCATCATCATCATCACCACCACCATCATCATCACCACCACCACCATCATCATCACCACCACCACCATCATCATCACCACCATCATCATCACCATCATCACCACCACCATCATCACCACCATCACCACCATCATCATCATCACCACCACCACCATCATCACCATCACCACCACCATCATCACCACCATCACCACCACCATCATCACCACCATCATCATCACCACCATCACCACCACCATCACCATCATCACCATCACCACCACCATCACCACCATCACCACCACCACCATCATCACCACCACCATCACCACCACCATCATCACCATCATCACCACCACCACCATCACCACTATCATCACCATCATCACCACCACCACCATCACCACTATCATCACCATCATCACCACCACCACCATCACCACTATCATCACCACCACCACCATCATCACCACCATCACCAACTTACCACCGCCGCCGTCGTGGCGATGTTGACACGATCCGTGGCGTGCTGCTGGGCCCGCCGTGTTGTTGACGCCAAGCCCCCCGCGAAGGAACACGGCGCGTGGTGGCGGTGTTGTTGTTGTTTACATAGCGAGGAGCGAGCCACCGAGGGGGGGCTCGGTCCCGCGAGGGGGGGCTCGGTCCCGCGAGGGGGGGCTCGGTCCCGCGAGGGGGGGCTCCGCGAGGGGGGGCTCGGTCCCGTCGAGTACTCGCCGAGTCGACGTGCGAGGTACCGAGAGCTGTGCCGGGCCTACAGTCGCCGCCGCTGCTGCTGTAGCTGCTACTACAGCAGCTACAGCAGCAGCTAGAGCTACAGCAGCAGCTACAGCAGGAGACAATGCGCCTTGTAAACAAGCCGCGGGCCAGATTTAGAAACTGACGTCAGCCCGGGCTGGCGATCAGCCAGGCGGTGACGTCACTACCACCCCCCCCAACAACAACCAGCCCCTCCCCTCACCCAGCCCCCCCTCCCCTCACCCAGCCCCCCAGCCCCCCTCACCCAGCCCCCCCTCCACCCCTCCCCTCACCCAGCCCCCCTCCCCCTCACCCAGCCCCCCTCCCTCTACAGCAGCAGCGCGGCCCCGAGTGCAGAGCGCGGAGACTGCAGGAGCGGGGAGATGGCACGAGTGGTCACTGTGTGTGTGTAGTGTGTGTGTGTAGTGTGTGTGTAGTGTGTGTGTGTAGTTACTGTGTGTGTAGTTACTGTGTGTGTCTAGTGTGTGTGTGTAGTTACTGTGTGTGTGTAGTGTGTGTGGTGTGTGTGTGTAGTGTGTGTGTGTAGTTACTGTGTGTAGTGTGTGTGTAGTGTGTGTGTGTAGTTACTGTGTGTGTGTAGTGTGTGTGTGTAGTTACTGTGTGTGTAGTGTGTGTGTAGTTACTGTGTGTGTAGTGTGTGTGTGTAGTGTGTGTAGTTACTGTGTGTGTGTGTGTAGTGTGTGTGGTGTGTGTGTAGTGTGTGTTTAGTTACTGTGTGTGTGTAGTTACTGTGTGTGTGTAGTTACTGTGTGTGTGTGGTGTGTGTGTGTAGTGTGGTGTGTGTGTAGTTACTGTGTGTGTGTAGTGTGTGTGTAGTGTGTGTGTGTAGTTACTGTGTGTGTAGTTACTGTGTGTGTAGTGTGTGTGTGGTGTGTGTGGTGTGTGTGTGTAGTGTGTGTAGTGTGTAGTGTGTGTGTAGTTACTGTGTGTGTGGTGTGTGTGTGTAGTGTGTGTGTAGTTACTGTGTGTGTGTAGTTACTGTGTGTGTGTAGTTACTGTGTGTAGTGTGTGTGTGTAGTTACTGTGTGTGTGTAGTGTGTGTAGTTACTGTGTGTGTGTAGTTACTGTGTGTGTGTAGTGTGGTGTGTGTGTGTAGTGTGTGTGTGTAGTTACTGTGTGTGTCTAGTGTGTGTGTGTAGTTACTGTGTGTAGTGTGTGTGTGTAGTTACTGTGTGTGTAGTGTGTGTGTAGTTACTGTGTGTGTAGTGTGTGTGTGTAGTTACTGTGTGTGTAGTGTGTGTGTGTAGTTACTGTGTGTGTAGTGTGTGTGTGTGGTGTGTGTGTAGTTACTGTGTGTGTGCAGTGTGTGTGTAGTGTGTGTGTAGTGTGTGTGTGTAGTTACTGTGTGTGTAGTTACTGTGTGTGTAGTGTGTGTGTGGTGTGTGTGTGTAGTGTGTGTAGTGTGTGTGTAGTTACTGTGTGTGTGGTGTGTGTAGTGTGTGTGTAGTTACTGTGTGTAGTGTGTGTGTGTAGTTACTGTGTGTGTGTAGTGTGTGTAGTTACTGTGTGTGTGTAGTTACTGTGTGTGTATTGTGTGTGTGTGTAGTGTGTGTGTGTGGTGTGTGTGTGTAGTGTGTGTAGTGTGTGTGTGTAGTTACTGTGTGTGTGTAGTGTGTGTGTGTGTGTACTGTGTGTAGTGTGTGTGTGTAGTGTGTGTAGTGTGTGTGTGTAGTGTGTGTAGTTACTGTGTGTGTGTGTAGTTACTGTGTGTGTGTAGTGTGTGTGTGTGGTGTGTGTGTGTAGTGTGTGTGTGTAGTGTGTGTAGTTACTGTGTGTGTGTAGTGTGTGTAGTTACTGTGTGTGTGTAGTTACTGTGTGTGTGTAGTGTGTGTGTAGTTACTGTGTGTGTGTGTGTAGTTACTGTGTGTGTGTAGTGTGTGTGTGTAGTTACTGTGTGTATGTGTGTAGTGTGTGTGTGTAGTGTGTGTGTAGTGTGTGTAGTTACTGTGTAGTTACTGTGTAGTTAATGTGTGTGTAGTGTGTGTGTAGTGTGTGTGTGTAGTTACTGTGTGTGTAGTGTGTGTGTGTAGTGTGTGTGTGTAGTTACTGTGTGTGTAGTTACTGTGTGTGTGTAGTGTGTGTGTGTAGTTACTGTGTGTGTGTAGTTACTGTGTGTGTAGTTACTGTGTGTGTAGTTACTGTGTGTGTGTAGTGTGTGTGTGGTTACTGTGTGTGTAGTTACTGTGTAGTGTGTGTGTGTGTAGTTACTGTGTGTGTGTAGTTACTGTGTGTGTGTAGTTACTGTGTGTGTAGTTACTGTGTGTGTGTAGTTACTGTGTGTGTGTGGTGTGTGTGTGTAGTTACTGTGTGTGTAGTTACTGTGTGTGTGTGTAGTGTGTAGTTACTGTGTGTGTGTAGTTACTGTGTGTGTGTAGTTACTGTGTGTGTGTGTAGTGTGTGTGTAGTTACTGTGTGTGTGTAGTTACTGTGTGTGTGTAGTGTGTGTAGTTACTGTGTGTGTGTAGTTACTGTGTGTAGTGTGTGTGTGTAGTTACTGTGTGTGTGTAGTTACTGTGTGTATGTGTAGTTACTGTGTGTGTGTAGTTACTGTGTGTGTGTAGTTACTGTGTGTGTAGTTACTGTGTGTGTAGTTACTGTGTGTGTGTAGTTACTGTGTGTGTGTAGTTACTGTGTGTGTATAGTGTGTGTGTGTAGTTACTGTGTGTGTGTAGTTACTGTGTGTGTGTAGTGTGTGTGTAGTTACTGTGTGTGTGTAGTTACTGTGTGTGTGTAGTTACTGTGTGTGTGTAGTGTGTGTGTGTAGTTACTGTGTGTGTGTGGTGTGTGTGTGTAGTTACTGTGTGTGTGTAGTTACTGTGTGTGTGTAGTGTGTGTGTAGTTACTGTGTGTGTGTAGTTACTGTGTGTGTGTGTGTAGTGTGTGTGTAGTTACTGTGTGTGTGTAGTTACTGTGTGTGTGTAGTGTGTATGTGTGTAGTTACTGTGTGTGTGTAGTGTGTGTAGTTACTGTGTGTGTAGTGTGTGTGTGTAGTTACTGTGTGTGTGTAGTTACTGTGTGTGTGTGTAGTTACTGTGTGTGTGTAGTGTGTGTGTAGTTACTGTGTGTGTAGTTACTGTGTGTGTAGTGTGTGTGTAGTTACTGTGTGTGTGTAGTTACTGTGTGTGTGTAGTGTGTGTGTAGTTACTGTGTGTGTGTAGTTACTGTGTGTGTGTAGTTACTGTGTGTGTGTAGTGTGTGTGTAGTGTGTGTGTGTGGTGTGTGTGTGTGTAGTTACTGTGTGTGTGTAGTTACTGTGTGTGTGTAGTGTGTGTGTAGTTACTGTGTGTGTGTGTGTAGTGTGTGTGTAGTGTGTGTGTAGTTACTGTGTGTGTGTAGTTACTGTGTGTGTAGTTACTGTGTGTGTGTAGTTACTGTGTGTGTGTAGTGTGTGTGTAGTTACTGTGTGTGTGTGTAGTGTGTGTAGTTACTGTGTGTGTGTGGTGCGTGTGTAGTGTGTGTGTAGTTACTGTGTGTGTGTAGTTACTGTGTGTGTGTAGTTACTGTGTGTGTGTAGTTACTGTGTGTAGTTACTGTGTGTGTGTAGTTACTGTGTGTGTGTAGTTACTGTGTGTGTGTGTAGTTACTGTGTGTGTGTGTAGCGTGTGTGTGTAGTTACTGTGTGTGTGTAGTGTGTGTGTGGTTACTGTGTGTGTAGTTACTGTGTAGTGCGTGTGTGTGTAGTTACTGTGTGTGTAGTTACTGTGTGTGTAGTTACTGTGTGTGTGTGTAGTTACTGTGTGTGTAGTGTGTGTGTGTAGTTACTGTGTGTGTGTAGTTACTGTGTGTGTGTAGTTACTGTGTGTGTGTAGTTACTGGTGTGTGTGTAGTTACTGTGTGTGTGTAGTTACTGTGTGTGTGTGGTGTGTGTGTGTAGTTACTGTGTGTGTGTAGTTACTGTGTGTGTGTAGTTACTGTGTGGGTGTAGTGTGTGTGTAGTTACTGTGTGTGTGTAGTTACTGTGTGTGTAGTGTGTGTGTAGTTACTGTGTGTGTGTAGTTACTGTGTGTGTGTAGTGTGTGTGTGTAGTTACTGTGTGTGTGTAGTGTGTGTGTAGTGTGTGTGTGGTGTGTGTGTGTGTAGTTACTGTGTGTGTGTAGTTACTGTGTGTGTGTAGTGTGTGTGTAGTTACTGTGTGTGTGTAGTGTGTGTGTAGTGTGTGTGTAGTTACTGTGTGTGTGTAGTTACTGTGTGTGTGTAGTTACTGTGTGTGTGTGTAGTTACTGTGTGTGCAGTGTGTGTGTAGTTACTGTGTGTGTGTGGTGTGTGTAGTGTGTGTGTAGTTACTGTGTGTGTGTAGTTACTGTGTGTGTGTAGTTACTGTGTGTATGTGTAGTTACTGTGTGTGTGTGTAGTTACTGTGTGTGTGTGTAGCGTGTGTGTGTGTAGTTACTGTGTGTGTGTAGTGTGTGTGTGGTTACTGTGTGTGTAGTTACTGTGTAGTGTGTGTGTGTAGTTACTGTGTGTGTGTGTAGTTACTGTGTGTGTAGTTACTGTGTGTGTGTAGTTACTGTGTGTGTGTGTAGTGTGTGTGTGGTGTGTGTGTGTAGTTACTGTGTGTGTGTGTAGTGTGTGTGTGTAGTTACTGTGTGTGTGTGTAGTTACTGTGTGTGTAGTTACTGTGTGTGTGTGTGGTGTGTGTGTGTAGTTACTGTGTGTGTGTAGTTACTGTGTGTGTGGTGTGTGTGTGTAGTTACTGTGTGTGTGTAGTTACTGTGTGTGTGTGTAGTGTGTGTGTGCGTAGTTACTGTGTGTGTGTGTAGTTACTGTGTGTGTGTAGTTACTGTGTGTGTGTGTGGTTACTGTGTGTGTGTAGTTACTGTGTGTGTGTATAGTGTGTGTGTGTAGTTACTGTGTGTGTGTAGTTACTGTGTGTGTGTGTAGTGTGTGTGTGTAGTTACTGTGTGTGTGTAGTTACTATGTGTGTGTAGTTACTGTGTGTGTAGTGTGTGTGTGTAGTTACTGAATGTGTGTAGTTACTGTGTGTGTGTAGTGTGTGTGTGTAGTTACTGTGTGTGTGTAGTTACTGTGTGTGTGTAGTTACTGTGTGTGTGTGTAGTGTGTATGTGTGTAGTTACTGTGTGTGTGTAGTGTGTGTGTGTAGTTACTGTGTGTGTAGTTACTGTGTGTGTAGTGTGTGTGTGTAGTTACTGTGTGTGTGTAGTTACTG